AACGGGTAAGATTTCAATTACGATATTTTTCGAGAAAGAAGCATTTATTTCAAAAAAAAAAAAGAAATACGCGAGAGAGAAAGAGAGAAGATCTAAGAAATAGGATCTAGGAGATATTTTGGTAAATAGTGGATAGTTATCTCGCCATACGTGATATCGCGTTTCCTGTGCGCGTGTATTCACCCAACGATTTTCACCCAACAGGAAAAAGCGGCGTACACCGGTGGCCGAAGAGTAGATCGTCGTAATGGGATCGATCGGGCACGGCACGGTGTTGGCCGTGTCCGACCTATCGATACCGTTAAGATCAATATTCCATCGGACATTAACATGCAGACAGGAGAGAGAGAAAGAGAGAGAGCACCCACGACGACGCGCTCCACTTTTCTATTTCCCCCATCGTCCGTACGAGCAATCGAGCAATCGTCTCTTCGAAGTGGACGCTCCGTTTTATAGATTTAACTATAATGCGAATCGATTTTATTCATCCCCTGCGAGTATCGCCGAGAATTTCGTCGAAACGGTACGTTGGTAGAGAAATTGTGCTTACCCTTTACCCGGTATTCGTTTTAAACAATTCTTCCTTAATCATGATTAGTAAGTGGATAATCGTATGTACTTAGTTTGTAATTTCGTAATTTTAAAATTTGTAGATTGTAAGGGAATATATATATATATAAATATATATAGGAGTTAGGTTTTTTTCGTAGCGATCGTACGGATTAGTGCAATATTTTATACCATCCTCGAGGAGAGATTAAAGAGTGAAGGGTTCGCATGATCGTTCTAACTGCCATCGCATCGAAGAGTATAGTGTATCGATCGAAGTTAATCTCGTTCGTTACGTAGAGTGTGTTGAAAAGTAAACGAATCGAATACAGGTTTTCTAGAATTTACCGAGGGGGAGAGCTCGTTCATTTCCAGTAAAAAGATATTGTAATCGAATCGTCTTTCAGCGGGAGGAAGGATCGATTCTTCGCGAGAGAAACGTTGAAAATAAATTTATTCTCAAAGTGAAATCGAGTTTCGAACATTTTCAATGGAACCAACTATTACTACTTCCAAGATCCGTAACTCTGGCTTAAGGAAAAATAAAGTTGACTGGTGACTGGACACCGGCAAGGACGTTAAACATTGACCCTGCCGTTCATTGGTTTCTGGAAGAGGCGGTCATTAAGCGACACGGCATACCCATGCGCACCCTCTAATCGTTTCTAAGAAACGAAAACTCGTCACTCATCGTTACGCAGCTTTATCTTTCCTTTAACAGACATTTATCCATATCTTTATGCTATCGAATTTACGATTAACTTTCAATGTTTTTTTCCAATCTTTTATTTACCATTAATTACGTTCAATTTCTTAGTTTCGAGGTGATAAAACAAATAAAAAAAATTTTTTACAAACAAATTTTACTAATAACAACGAGTCATCCAAATATTTGTCCAAAGTAACTTATCGTATCACCTTTATAATATCATTAATTGTGTAAAAATTATTGTGCAAAACAAAGTACCAAAAGCATCGAACTACGAATCGTGGTAAGATAAAATTGGTTTTACCATCAATGCAATTCCGTTTAACTGTGTGTTTAAAAAAAGAATGAAAAAATACAAACTCGAGGAAGCGACACTTCCGAACGGATCAAATTGATTCGCTAAACAGTCGAATTAGATAGCTTTTACACGGAAATCATCGTACTCTTTTCGAAACCTTGAGATTATATATAAAGCTATTAGTTGCTTGGTAGAAATATTTCTAGGTAAAAAAAGAATGTTGGTGTGATTCATCGAGTGGTATAGTTACTTCCTACTGTGGAATCTTTTCGTTCAAAAATGAAGGACATGAGAAATAGTATGCCTACGTTCATATCACGAAATCTTGAATCGAATCTTGATCGTGGAAGAATAATTTTGAATAAGCGATTCTTCCGCTATTTCTCATATTATACGTTCATTACGTTCATTCTGTAAAATATCATTCGTTTTTTCTTCGAGATTCTTCGAAACAAAATCGAGAAATTTAAGAATAAAAAATCGTATAAATACAACGTTTAAACGAGAAAAACTTCCACTGTTTAAAAGAAAGCAGAAATTTTTACAGCGTTAAAAATCAAATGGCGTTACGATAGTCTCGAATCGTCTTCCGTTTTGAATAAATTAATCATCAGGAAGCGTTGCCTGTCTCGGCCTTCAAAAGTGTTTTCAAGGATTTATCAATTTTTCGACAAGTTTGCGCAATTTCCATTTCTCAGTTTTAACTTGGGATCGTTATCCGCTGTACTTTTCCAAAGCAACTTTCTTACTTTTATGTCGTATATATAATGGCATCGATTATCACTTCAATCTGAAGATAATCGCTCTAACCCAATGTTAGGAAAGAAGGAGTTATACGACGATAAAACGACGGCCCGTACGGGGAATCCCAGCCCGAGTTCCGAGTCTTGATTAACACGCAGTACACATAGAATCTTTCCACGCGTAATAAAATTATTATGATAATTTTTGACGGGAATTTTTCAATTTATATTCCGTACGTGCGTCTCGTTTCTAAAAAATTCAATTTAACGTCTCGATCAACGGCTTCATCAAGAAATTTTCCACCCACGTAGCCTCGTATTTATGTTGATGCCTTGATGAAAATCAAGAATTTAATACCAAATAAAACACTTTTACGCAACATATTGAGCTAGACAGAAGAAGCTACTTGAAATAAAATGGGAAATTTATTTGATCGTACGATTTAGCGTTTAAATCTCCTTGATTGCTCGACACAAATAAAAGAATTAAATAGAAATCAGGATATAAAATTCGACTTCTCCGTTCAACGAATTAAAAAAGACGAAAAGTGAAGGAAACGAAACGACATATTAACGCATATTTTGTAAATAAAGACCAAATTTAAAAAAAAATTTAATCTTCGTTTTCCTCCCTCCTAATCCACCAAAACCGAAGAATCGGTGTTGCGAAATTGGACGAGAAATATTTGGAGATACACCAAAAAAAAAAAGAAAGAAATAAAAAGAAAACTCTCCGCCAAGTTCATCCGCCTTCGATAATCGAAGCGAAACGAAACTGGTTGGTGGCACGAAAAGGTAGGGATGCAATATCGCTGGATCATCGTTGATAGTCGTCCAGCTGTTTAACTTTCGATGACCGGCTGGGTAAACGCTAAGCCGTGTCCAACCGTGTTCACACAATGAAAAGGTTGTCCGTGCTAATGAGATTCGTCCGTTCCTCGGCAAGAATACCCGTTTGGTACCTACGTAAACCGTGGCGGGACATCCCAACACGATCGGGACGCTTTCTATATAAAGGCCGCCCTCCAGATTTTCTCATCGTCACTTCGCACTCGAAACTCGAAGAAGCTTGTGCTAACTAGTCCAGTAAACTTGTTATTTCCTCCCGATAAAGCGTTCAACCATGAAGATCGCGCTAATCGTTCTGGTTACGATGTTGGCTGGCGCCATCGCATACCCTGCTCACCCTGCCGCAGAACAGGACGCTGTTCCCGGGGAACAAGGTACGGTATAAAACGAGATAAAACGTTTGCATTCCTGCAAGAGTTGAGTTGAATTGAGAGAAATAAACGAACAAATTTTTTTTTCTTCCTTTTTGTTTAAATTACAAATATTATAATTGGGAAAGGTACGAAGGTCGAGATAATTATTCGAACCAATAGCTTCGTATTATTTCCTTCCCACGTTTGTGTTTGTTTAACAGTCATATGACAGCTTCTCCTTTGCATATCTCTTTGTATATAGTTATATTCTTGAACGTGCAATGATTAACATGCTTCACGTCACATCGACGGGATCAAAATATACTATTGTCGATCTGACTCATCGTTTAGTGAATCTTTTTAACAGTCGAGTAAGAATTACTTTCGACCTTCCCACTCATCTTGTCTAAAGTCATCGAAATCGTTCCTCTCTTCTTTCATTAATCTTTCGTTAATCTTTTGATTATTTATTTATGTACATTTCGTGAATCGAATAGCCTCGGGGGGACTTAAGAAACTTTCGAATATATTAAAGTTTAAAGAGATAAGAAACATTTTTTTGTGCTCCAGTAACGGAGAGTCCAGTGTCGAGGCCGATCAGAGAGGCAAATCCAGATCCTCACCGCCATTTCGGTGGACTCGGTGGAATCGGTGGAATCGGTGGATACGGTGGATACGGTGGATACGGTGGATACGGTGGATACGGTGGATACGTTGGATATGGTGGCTTTCCCATAGGCGGCTTCGGAGGTTCTCACAGCTCCGCTGGTGCTATTAGCTCCCCGTTCGGAAGCGCTGCTTTCTCCAGCTCAAGGACCGGGTACGCATTCTTCTTCCATATGTTTCGTATATGTATATTGCAGAATATTTTTTTTCAAGTTATTTCCTTCCGTTTACAGAGGCTTTGGACGATGAGCAGGCTTCTTGGATAATCAATTTTCTTTCGACAACGACAAGAGACCGTGTTGCTCAATTATATATACATATAATGTGTTATTTTAATTATTTAAATAAACTTTTGTAACAAACGAATCAAACGCCTCTCTTTTTTAATGACCTTAAAAGCCTTTTAATGACCTTGAAAGCATTCTTCGTTAAGCTTAAGATCGTTTTTTTTTATCCCTAACGAAACGTGAAATAAATTATTTTGTTATGTTATTTTATCGTGTAAAGGAATGATTATAATCCGTTTGGAACGCAGGTTGATCAAGCCCGTTGATCATTCATTCCAAACTCATTGAGCCGCGATCAAAGAAAATTTTTGCGCCGCGAAAACGTTTGGTTACTCGACGTAACTATTCAGAACGATTCGTCATATCGAATAACGGAGTTCGATTTTATCGGGATGTTTGCGAGGGATGTTTAGAAAACACTGCATAGCAGAAGTGTGTTTAACCGTTGCCCGCTATAAAATCGATCGCCCTGTCGGCACTTGTCATTACTCCATGCAACGTCTTATCGTCCGACGATCGACGATCGACTGTCCTCCGTTTTCACCGCGATAAGAAAGTGATGAAAAAATGAAGTTTTCCGCGATCACGTTGCTGTTAATCGTCCTACAAGTGAGTAAAGAAATTCTCTCTCTTTCGCTCTCACTCTCACTCTCGCTTTCGAAAACGAAATTTAACGATGGAAAATAACGATCGATAAATGTTGTAGGTACATTATGGTTCCTTTGCCAAATTAGAATCTAAAGGTAAGAGAGGATTAACGGTATTATACGGATTAACGGTATTAACGGTTGAGGTGTAAGGAAAGATGGAAGAATGGGAGAAAATTTTGTCCCTTGTTCTTTTTCTTTCTTTTTCTTTTCCTCTTTCTTTTTCATCTCTTTCTTTCATCGAAGAAAATCAAACGGAGGTCGATCAACAAAGGAGCGCAAGGGTTCATCGGGTGTCCGACCGCGAGTTCACCGGAAATGAAGATTCTCAGTTAAAGAATGCCATCAAGGACATCGTGATCAAGCAGGCTGTTCTATTGGGGAGCGAGGAGATCGAGAAATTTCTCACCGATTTTCCTAATTTGAGCAATCTCGTGCAACACGAGGCAAGTCTCGAAGATTACATCTTCTCTCTCTCTCTCTCTCTCTTTCTCTCTTTTTGAAATTGGATATTTTTGGAAAGAAACGAATCATCGTAGCGATTAATTAAAAGGTTAATGTTTCAGACCCAATTGTTTAAGGAGCTAAACATGATCCTAATGGAGCTGGTTCGAGACGGAACGGTCACGTTGAAAAACATAGATCATACGATCAACGAGATGATGGGGATGAGCGTGTCACAGACTTCCGTCAAACCTGTAACAAAGAACGATAATCTGGGAAATCTTTCAAATTCGTTAGAGCAATTGGGTAGCCAAGAGAACGAGAATCGGGAGAATTCGAGTAATTATTTAGAAAAAAAGAAAAAAAGAAAAAAAAAAAGAAACGTAGCGAAGAGAGATATTTTATCGTATTTTCTCGTATTTTTCTAATCGACGCGTCTTCTCCTTTTCGAGGACTTCCGGTCTCTCGGATCGAATCGATGAACGAACAGGAGCTGAGGAAGGTGAAGAACGTAGCCCAGACACTGGACAATGTGATGATGGAGATCCAGAAACACGTGACTTTCGTTCGAAGCGTTTTTGACAGGCTTTGCAGGTGAGCAGCAGGTGATTGCGAGAAATTGTGGATATCGTATGGCAATTTTAATTAACGATTTTATAGGAAGCATCATTCTACATCGTCCAATCAATCGAATTCGAATGATATTGGAAAATTTGCGTCAATGAATCAACCTAAGAAAGTATCGATATTTTAAAAGATATATTAATATTCGTAAGGAATAATGCGATTACTCGTCTTTTACGTAGTCCTTGATTTCCTAATTAAATTTCTAAAATAATAATAAAATTCTATATATATTTGTAAATAAAAAAAGAAAAATAATTGCGATCGCCTCGATATCTCTTCGTAAAAAAATAATTTTATAACAATTCGACGATGTTTTATAAAATCGAAATGTCAATATTTTCAATAAAAGTGTTGAGAAAAAAGATAACTATCTTTTTTTTTTTATATTGCCATATAGCATCGAAATCGTGTTGTCTTTTTCCTTATATTGAATCAAGGTGACAATATTCAAACTTGCCGCGTATCGATCTAGCCAACACATTTCTCGTTTCCAAATTTATATTCATTATGCGACATTCGTTGTCTCGAATTATTTTTTAAAGAAAACTGACATCATCTAAATAATCAATCCGAGGATTGAATTCGAGGATAAGTTTGCGCGAGAAGAATCGAATCGCTATTTTAACGGAATGTTGAGAAAATCATTCGCCTCTCGTGTTAGAATTGTGATGGATGAACCGAAACAACTATTCTGCTATCGTTCGCAGAAAGTTTGATCAATTCCGTTAGGTAACTGGTGGCAACTAGAAAGAAACCGTCTCGAAGTCGTTTCCTTCTCCTTGTGGGGTAAGTTTATTATTAATCCAATCGTCATATAGTTGCAAAAAAAAAAGCCAAATAAATATAATCGAAAAAGATTAAACTCAAAAGAAAATCTTATCTTTTCTTTTTGAATCGAGATAAGGTTCGAATAAGATTCGAATAAAATATATCGTCTTTCGTGACGATACTTTGTTACAAAATTTTTATAGATAAATATCTTCAATGAGGGTAATAAATAGATGAATATTCGTTTGAAAAAAAAAAAAAAAAGAAAAAGATCCGAAGATAATATTCACGAATTATGTGCTCTATATAGTTCTGAAACTAATGTTCGAAAATTGAAATTTATCGTTCTACTCGTTTTTCTTTCTTTCTTCTCTTTTTTTCCTTTTTCTTAGCAATAACAATAGTTGAAACTACTCGCATGATTCATGAATCGCGTGCATATGCAAACTTGAGGAAATTAAACCGAGAGCTCAAAGTCAGCGGTGTTTGTTATCGTGACGCGATCTAATCTGGTGTGAAATTGCACCTATGATATCTGAATTCAAATTAGTTAATTCGATTCACTTCGAGGTATCCATTATGCTCTACCGTTAGACGCGATAAAACGCGCTTTCCTTCAATGATACGTCATCAAGAATTGAAGCAATTTTCTCGCTTAATTTAACAGCGCCTGCCCAGTGATGCAATCGTGGCTGGCGATGCAGGAAATTACAATCATCGCGACGTGCAACGTATCAACGTTTAATACATTTTACATGCGAGACATAGGGTATGATAGACCTAATTTGTTGAGGAAACGTTTTATTGCGACTATAAACTATTCCTAACTAAGCTCTACTCCAGTCGTTTTCTCAAATTGAATTGAAAAATCTTAAATCAAAAATAAATTACGTATACGAGCAAAATACTCGATTGAGATTATTGAACGAGTAACGCAAAGTTAGAGGCGTAAGAAAAATTTCACGACTCTGGGAACGACTATATTGGAAATTATTATTCTTGAAAATTGATTTTTCGCTTATTAGTGCATGCCAGGCACGATGTAACCAGGCATGCAGCGATACAATTAGGAAACAACTATTGTATTCCTGTCTCGCTTACGATCTCGTAGTAAGAATTTTTTTAATATTTTCTTTTTTCACTTTTTTTCTCTTTACAAAGTTTTTTTAACTCAAATCTGATCTTGCACGAAATAGTTGCACGAAGTAATTTGCTTATATGCAAATTTTTTCTCGAGTTTAAATAGAAAAAAGAAAGAAATAAATAAAAAGTACATTTAAAACCACTTATCCAAATTCTCATGCAAATTTTTATACGAACGGATCGTATCGCGATGAGACAAGAAGATAAGTATAATCGGATAAGGAAGGAAGGAAGGAAATTTCAATTTCCCAAATTGCACGATATTTACATTTGACGAGCAAATTGTCCTTAAATGCGTTCGATCGAACCTAGATTACAGTGGAATCGCGTGAAGGCACGCGAGAGACCCAGTCGAGAGACTCGAAGGAAGCACAATAACCATCGGATTCGGTTTCTAATGAAAAACGATGAAATCGTTGCGTGTTATTGATCAATCGATCCGTAACCATAGCTTCTATCGTCTTGGCGCGATCAATTTGCATTCACCCTTCTCCCTGCCTATAATTAGAGCCAAGGAAAACACATTTTCTAACATGCTCTCCGCCAACAAATCAATCAACACACCGATCACGCTAATCTCTCTTTCTCTCTCTCTTTTTCTCTCTCACTCTTTCTAAGAATTAGAACAAGCTAGAAATTTTCTTCAAACTCTTAACACGAAATTCGTAACGATTAATT